GGGGAGGGGAGGTGTTGGAACTAAACAAGCACATCTCCACTTGGTTCACTGGAATTCCATATTTGTACATTAGAGTTAAAATTAGTTCTACCTTGTGGCTCTCATTACTCAGCCATTACTTTCATAAACATCACATTTACAAAGGAGATCAAACTATTCTACAAAACAGATGCTTGTAGAGAAGTAAAAGATTAACAGATAATATATGCAAAAATATATAGTATTTTGCATAGTTCTTGGAGGAACAACTAATACTACTTTGCACTGCAAATGGTTTCCAGCATATATGACTTTACAGAGAGAACTTAATATAAGGAACTCTGAAACAGATTTCTGTGCAATCTTGATCACTCTCTCATCATTACAGATACCTGCTTTCCCAGGAGAAACTCACCTGGGAATGATTTAGCTCTGGTTGATCCCAGGTCATTCTTGTCCTGGACCAGACATTTTTACTTTGCAAGAAAAAGCCTGAACATCTGTACAGTTTTTGGTTTCTCCTAGGAGAGCGGCAACACTCTCAGGATAAACTGAACGTCTGTAGGAGCTCTCTCTCTGCAGTCCCTCTGTCACAAAGTTAAATGAAAAATGAACAAGGTTTGTATAGAAATGCCAACTAGTTCCAGCACCTAGGATAATTTAACTTATTTACTCTCAAGGCAATTTTAAATGCTGCATATGAAAATATATTTTAATTATATCCAAACTATAAAAAAAAATCTATTTTTTTCCTGAAAACCCTTTGGAAGGTTCTTCTAACATTTATATAAATATTTCTGTTCTCCTTTGCACTTTTAACCTTAATTAGATCTGCAATCTAGAACTCAGATTCTAGGCAAGCAGTTGATGAATCATTAGGTTAGTTAAACATGAAAAAAATCCCTGGAGATTTGATAACAGAAAAAGTTCCTTCTCACTTGAGAACACACACATACACACACACACTCCTTAATGATTAACTCAGTGTTACATAACATCATTCCAGGAAAAAGAAGAAAAGAGTTAAGGGTTTATTTTTTCCTGGGGGATAGGGGGAGGCTTTAAAAGCATACATTTCCATAACTTAATATGTTTGGATGTTTTTGCACTCTAATCTTAAATCAGAATTTCCTGTGTTTGCAATGCTTGGGTTTTGGATACAATGCTACTATAATTTATTTATTTTACTTTGAATTTCTTACTTTTAAGTTACTGATACTTACTCGCAGCTTTCATGTCATCTTTCATCTTTGAATGAAGTTCTTTCTTTGGTGCTGGGAGAAAATTCTCTCCCACTATGACTCCTTTTCCATTTTCATATGGCTACAGACAACAGCAGCATGCCTGCCACTGCAGAGACAGTACTTTTGCTTATTTACAATACAGACTTGTATCACTAAATTACTGCATCATAGCATGATTAACCATACAGCAGTGAGAAGTGAAATGGTCTTTCTCAATTTGTGGGGGCAAGCTAAATGGTGAGACCTGGATTATATCTGAATGGCATCCTGGTCATATTTCCAAGAACATAAGGGTAAAAGGGTAAGAAAATGAACATACATATATGAGATTTTCTTTAGATTTCCCATGTATGTGTTCTGACTAAAATTTCTTTCACATAGCCCACAAATCTGCAACAACTGTGCAGATGTTCTACTGTACTAATTCTTCCCAGCTGTCAGAGAGTGCTGTGGCACTTGAATTAAGGGCACAAATAATCTTCCTCTGTGTCTTGTGTCTTCATTTTCTGTCAAGCTAGTGTGAGGAGAATGCAGAAGACATGTTGGCAGGTAGGCCAATGGGGAAAGAATAGGATTTGGGGTGAAATATGTGAGGGATGCTGGTCTGAGAGAACAGAGGCTCAAGGGGAAGTGATGAAGGAGCAATTAGGGAATTCAGAGGCTCAAAGGAATTTATGCACAGGCTGAGCACGATAGTACAATTCTGAGAGTTGCTGATCTGAGATGCAGCGCAAAGGTCTAGCCGTAGCAAGCAACATTTCTGAGGCATAGAGGACTTAGCTAGTAGATCCACTGGCAAAGTCTCCTGTGTAGTTGAAAAACAGCTCTTCTGGGCCCACTGCAGACCTGACATTACAGGAAAGACTGCATTGGTAACTGGGTATATGTAATTAGGTAGATTGGAGAATGCTATGTCTGTCTGCTTGCTGAGGTCATTTACCCAGGATAGGATTGGAGTTTGACTTCATGTGAACAGTTGTACATTCAATAACTATGCCATTTACTGCATATAGTAATCACATTTTTATGTCAATATAAAAATTGAACTAACTATATACTGTCTTCTTCGTCAGTGTTTCTTGCCCTTATTGACAAAGTTATCCTCCCCAAATAATTCAAAGCCAGGGTTTAATATTTAAGAGACTCAAGAAAAATATTACCTTTCTGTTAGCTTTATCTGAATGGAGAGCACTTATTAACACCATTTCCAGGTAAAACAGACAGATTTTTACAGTTGTAAATGTTGGAATAAGGGCTTTGAAAATATCAGTAAAAACATTTTTTTCAAGTCAGTACGGTACACCTGAATGCATAACTGCAATAAACATGTACTCTGCTTACACTGTATATAACTTTGATGAAAAAACAATAAATATAAATTGGTAGCTTACAGTAATAAATCAGTCAGTGCAGTATTTTTAGCAATAGATAAAGGCATGAACAATGTATTAGTTGTCAATGCTTTATTATTGAAAACAAAATCAAAATTTTCTTATCTGGCACATAAACAATTATTTCTACAAAAAGGAAAGCCTACAAATCTTGATAATTTATACAAATAACAGTTTTTTTCAAAAAATAAAATTTTAATTTAGTAAACTTGTCTTGTGCTCTTTTATTTTTTAGCACTGTCTGCAATAATCCACCATAAATCCCTGAGCAGAGAGACATATTTTAAACATGTTTTAAACTTATTCCAAAAGAAGGAAGTTATCAAGCCTAGCCCTAAATTGAAATGTATTCAGGGACAGTCTCATTAAATTTCTGTTAGTCCTTTTTAAAATAAATTTTAAAAAAACCTCAGACAATTATAAAAGGCAGGATGAAACCATATCAATTGAGTGGCTTTTGTGCAATGAATGAAAACTATGAAACAAGAATGAACACAGCTTGAAAGGAAGACGCATATAACACAATAAAAAGTTATGACCAGGAAGCCACCAAAGTTTGATGACTGTTAAAATAAATAAAACTGCAGGATATCACACTTATACACTCAGTTCACTCATGGCCTAATATCTAACTCACTTTTACAGTTTTTCAAACAGCCAAAAAAGGGAAAATAAACTCGAGCCACCATTATATTCTTACCATTGGCTTCAGTGGATGATCATGAAAAAATTGAAATCCGTCTTCTGACCACTAAGTTTTGCTTAAGTAGCCATATCATTATTTAAGTAAAAGTTTGATGCTTTCAACCAAACCCAACAGCCCCATGCCTTCAGAACCTATAGTAGGACAGTTGTAAACCTACTGATTAAAGCATGTAATTGCTGAATGAAAAGAAAAAAAAAATGTCCCCCCTCTCCCAGAAACCAAAAAAAGCAAATAGAAAAGACTCCAACAACCTATTACAAGTTGCATTTATGCTGATTTAGAATAGTTACTCCCTGGTGTAGAGGTCTAAAAAAGAGAATATGAGGAGAATGTACAATAATGTAGAGTATATGCAGATGTCCCATTTCCCTTGAAGCAAACAACTATCCACAAAAAAGGTAGCCAAACAAAATAAGATAGCAACTGTTGCAGATTATTGTCCTAGTGAAAGAAAAGTTGCTGCTGTCAAATAATAAATAAATAAATACAGCAAAGTATTCTCCTATATAGTTTAGTTGGAATGATGCTAAATACTAAAAAGTAAGCTTTTTCAGTACAAAGCGTTTTAAGAGAACATGAAGAAACTTCAGACCAAGGTGCTTGAGCACTTAACATTATATCATTTGTGAAGTGAACATTGAAGCAGATACTGGTCATTAAATGAAATGAAATTCTCACATACACTAGTACCTGTTGCAACAAAAGAAAGCAGCTAGCAAATGGTCTGGACTAAAACTTTAATAAAATGAAACTTAAAAAAAAAATTATATGAATTTGTATGGAAAGCAAATTATCAGAAGCAGCAGCCCCCTCCTCCCCCTCCCCCCCTCCCCCAAACCCTCCCCCCCCTCCCCCCCTCCCCCAAAAACCCCTGATTGAGAATTGTGATAGTTCTGTTGCTTCTATGCATGTCTGGATATAAATGAATCCCTAATATATTAAAATCTGAGCAGACAAGCTGTCAAAAACATTCCAAAATATTTAAAATAATTGGAAGCCTTTGTTACATATTTCTCAGCTACACTGTTTTTGAGGATGCTCAACTAAAAACCAATCCTTCCTGTTAGTTGCTGGCATAGGCAATGGAAATTGCTGATAAGCTTCATTAGTAGCACATTTGATTTTAGTATTTGTAAAACTCATCCAGCTTGAACTTGTACAAAAATACTGTAGTTTGAAAAGCGTGGACAGTTCTGTTTAAAGAAGGTCTTCGATAACCACAGCACAAAAGGAGTTAAACAGGAGTTAAAAAGGTGTGTAGGATAAGGCCAAAAAAAAAAAAAAAAAGTCCCCGTATTTTTTCCTAAGATTACAGCCTGTCCCCCACTTGTTATGAGGGCAAGCATTGGTTTCTGTATAAAACTGGACAATTCACAGAATTAATGATACCGATTAGGCTCTCTTATATTGGTCAGATGTAGCACATCAGACTGTCCCTTGCTTATTTTGTTTAGGACAGGCAAAACAAGTCATACTCAGTTGAGTATCTTAAGTAATCTACATCCAAACTCTTAACAACAAGCTGAAATAATATATGCAACTCTTCAGTAAACAATTTTAAGTACTGTCATAGAACCACAAGTGACACTTTTTTTAGATGGTCGTGTAAGTCTGTGGAATTGATAAAGTAAGCGATCCTAAAGAGAGATACAGCAGCATTAAAACAAACTGCAAACACAATGGATTTAGTATACATTTTAATGAATTACAGCCTCAGCAAATACTTTAAGCTAGTATTATCTCTTTTACTCCCAGGTGGCTGGGTGTGTTCTACACAGTCTTCCCTCAGTGTCTTCAGGACAGTATAATTTTCAAGAACCCACATGGAAATAAGCAATATATAATTAACTGTGATGACTTGTCAAGTATGCAAGAATACCTTCCTTTAAGTGTTATGGTATTAAATATGTTTGTGGGGTAACACTTAACTCCTCTGTGAAGCTCCCAAGAAGCCTTTTTTTTTTTTTGGCAAGAAGTTATGCCAAAAATACACAATAGGATTTCCTAGCAGCAATTAAGACCCCTGACCCTGGCAGTCAAGTCCAATGAGAGCTTTGACAGATAACTTCCTGGAAGTTTTTATTTTGGATTTGAGTCAATTAATAAAAAAAAAATACTAGATTATTCTGTGTCATGTTTTGGAGGTCTTTAAACCTTGTTTTTCCATGATGTTCCAGAGTTTGCGAAGGTTTGACTGGGTTATGACATCATCACGTTTAAGCTGGAGAGCTCGGAGGTAGTTTGCTTCAGCCTCTATGAGTTTCCCATTGAGATGAAGAATGGCTCCAAGGTTCATCAGGGCAGCCGGATACTGCACAAAAGGAGGGAAAGAAAAATATTAAGAGTATTTTCAGTTTTTCTTAACAGGCAAAATTCATCCACTTATACAAATTATTCCCTTATGTTTGCAGGCATTTCATGGAAGCAATTTAACAATTTAAACAAATAGAGATAACAAGAAAAAGTTTTTGAACAGTTGCTAACTGTGTACTTTGTGCTTTAAACAGGGTAGGCTCTGGTGTCTACATACATAGACTTCTTTCTTTAATGAGAAAACACAGACCCCATAAAAGCTTTACATGTGGTAACATTGGCAAACTACAGTTTCCAAGAGAAAATTAAAGTACTGCAACAGAAGATTGAAGAGAGGAATTTAATTTCAATTCAACCCATTGCCAATAGGAGTTTATAATCGCTGGGAATAGATAACACATTGGGACTCCTGCCACCTTATTTTTTTACTTTGTTTTAAAGATAAGCGGAAAATACTGGTTGCCTTTGGATTTTAAAGACATACAAAGCTCCAAGGTACCCATTTTAGATTTGCCTTTATACAAACTCGGTGTTATGACAAGCTCTGGTATCTACAATACCTGAATAACTTTAGAATTACCAGGGGCAGAAACACGTAATATATTCACAAGGATATCGAAGAACACCACAATAAATTAAGAAGTTGTTTACCTTAGGATCTATTTCTAATTAAATTGCATGAGCAACATTCTTCTTACTTTTATTTAAAAGCCTGTACATTATTTCATTTTAGCTGAAAGGTTATTTATAGGACCAAGAATGAGAATTTTATCACCCCAAATCTCTGACAATTACAAATTATGAGGAAAGACTTCTGATTTTGAAAATGAAGTAAAGTTTACTCTACATACCTGCATAGGAATCCATAGGACACTATACTTCAGTGACAGTATAATCCCCTTATCCAACAAGTAAATAGATCCTGATTTAAAGTAAAAATTGACAAGAGTTCAACATGAGTTGTCCAAGACACCGTGGGCGAGTGGTGCCTCCTGAGTCGGGGTAGGGGTGGGCACTAGATCACTGATGGGGGGTCCCCCAGTTGCCGATTGCCGAGCCAGCAGCGAAACCAGAAGTACACTTCTAGTTTCACAGCTGGCACGTTCAGGGGGTGCACATGCACCTGCGTGTACCTCCTACACATTGCCAATGCAAGACACCCATGTTTTTAGGTCCACATTGGGAACATTATTTTCCCAGATTACAGAGGTTAGAGGCAATAGCAATTAATTTGGTGTTTGGGGAGTAAAGTTATTCTAGGTATCATTCAATAACACTCTCATAACATTTTTAAAATCAACTGTAAAGTTCCAGTCAACTCATGTATATACAAATTGTACACAGGATGCTTTTTGATGAATAGCATTAGAAATAACTCAAAGGTAAGAGAGAGACATGAAAATGCTCATATCTCATCTTCATACCAGGATGCAAGCCCTTCCAGGATGGTGTGGTGATAGGATGACATTGTGACTGGGTTTTAAATAATTCTCAAGCAATTCTCAGAGTTTACACAAGTATCTACAGTTTGCCTGTCTCTACATGCAATTTTAAAATCCCTTCTTTCAATAAGAGATCGATGTAAAAACAACAACAACACATGTTTCTCCCATCTAAAACAAACTTTTTCACTAAAGTTTAGAACAGCCTTTAAGTCGATTCCATTTTATTTTTCTTCTCTTTTTCTCACCTCTGATTAAAACAAACTCACTAGTAATAAAGTATGAGTAAAGCTTTCAGAGCCTCTAGGTTTTAAAGAGTTTCAAAACTAAACCGAAACAGTGAGTTCACCCATCTCCCCTGTAAATATCATGATGCTAAGCCAGGAGGATATGAACTGGCTACTGCTTTTGTTTTTCTTCCTTAAACCTGACAGGGTAATTTTTCCCCCCTCTTTGAGTCATTTCCCCAGCATACATGAAAACACAATATCTGTTATTTGTAGTATGTCCAAATATGACACAGATCCTTTCTCCACTCACACTTAATTAAAAAAAGATAAAAAAAGAAACAGCATAATGATTCACCCTCACATGCAGCGTAAGGGCGCATGACTTAGGAGAAGTTACCCAACACCTGCTCTAGGTCATTAGGATGACTAATCTTCACATGCTGCTGGCCTGATCGGCTACCCTGTCCTTGATTCTCTTTAGTCCATATCACACAGAAAGCAAATGGAGATCCCACAACTTCCCTTGGTAGCCTGTTTATAATCTTGACCACTCTCACAGTCAGAATGTTTCTCCTAAATCTCCAACCAAAACTTTCCTCTGCTGCAGGCTGAGGTCATTGAACCTAGTCCTTTTCCCTCCAGCCACAGATAAAAATATATCTCCAATCTATCTCCATCCTTTTTATAATTACCCTTCAGGTATCTAAAGATTGTAAAATTAAATCCCCCTAAGTCTTCTCTTCTCCAGATTAAATAACCTTGACTCTTTCAGCCTTTCCTCATAAATCCTGCCTTCAAGGCCTCTAATAATTGTTGTCATTCTCCACTGGACTCTTTTCAATCTGTTCACAAGTGTGGAGCCCAAACCTGGACAAAGTGAAGCCTCACCAGTGCTGAATGGAGCAGAAGAACCACTTCTCTTGATTTGCAAGAGACATTCTTGTTGATACAATATAGTTTGCTGTTGACATTTTTTCTTTTTATAGCAAGAAGAGCACACCTCAAAACTAGGTGCGGAATGCATGGGTATTCTCCCAAATTAGATTTTAATCCTATGTACTTCTGTCATTTGATGATGTAACTGGAAAATGATCAAGTGAGGTATTTAGCACACACCTAAGATATTGTCCACCGGTGATGGGGAAAATCAACTCCACAACAGAGAAGGAATTGAGAGAAATAGTCCTCCAATGAGAGGCCCCAGGTGTCCTAGAGAGACACGAATCTACTGGAGAATTTTGGTGACAAATCAGCATTAGAATAATAGTGATGGGAAAGGAGAGTCTGGGGAGGAGGCTAACCTTGGAGGCTTTCTAGGGTCTAGCTAGGATTGAATAAGTGCTTTTAAAATATCAGACTTGGCGGGGTCCAATGACCCTAGTTGCCAGGACTGGTAGAGTCAGCAGGAAGGCTGATATCCAAGAACACTGGCAGGTCTTTCAGGAGGGGCTAAGCTGTAGTCATTTGAGAAGGTAAACTGCACTTGTTTTGCTTTTCTGTGTCCAAACCTATGGTCTGTTTTGTCTGTATGGCTCTTTTCTCCTATATGATAAATATTTTTGTTGTTTTTCTCTCTATTGATTGCTTATGAGGGTGATTTCTGAGCAAGTGATATTCTAGGATGACTATCTCAATAGAGAGGGGGACCTATAATATCTTCTCAACCTAAAAATGGGAGCCACCTGGAGTTGGCACAGATTCCTTCACTGCAGGTGCAGGGTCCACTATAAGTGCAATGGAGCTGAGGCTTGCTGGGGTAGGGAGCTATCCTAGGGAAAACCTTGGTCTGTTCCATGGGGCAAGTGTGGGGCAGCACAGTGGGAGAAAACTCAGGGCTTTGGGAGATGGACAGGTTTCTGAAACACATTGTTGGCTCATATTGGTCCACTGCAACTCCCAGGTCCTTCTCTGAAGTACTGTAGCCTAGCCAATCATTCTTCACTCTGTATTTTTGCATAAAATTGATTTACAATGCAATTGCAGGTAACATGGAAACAATAGCTCTGAAATAAAAACTCTATTACCCTGCACTGTCAAGTAAAGGTTCCTTATACTATTTTTTGTTTAACTTGGTAAAGCAATTTCACTATAACAGGCTGAGAAGGGATGGAGGAAGGGGTGGGGAAGGAAAGAAAGCCAACACATTTCTCTGATAACCTTTGTAATTTTACCAAATCATCTGTTTTGGGGTCATTAATGCAAATAAAAATATCATATCAAGTTGTGATGAATGGATTGTGTTATTTCAGATGGGGCTGAAAATTCATACAAAATCATCCCTGTTTGAAACAACAAAGAGTACAGGTCTCCCAAAAGAACAACAGTGCACGTGACCTACCCACTGTATGTATATGGCACCGATCACTGCAGTGTCTAGGCGCCTGCAGTTTATTATAACACACACAAGAATTTCAGGTGACTGACTGATTAGACATCTGTGTCATCACTCCCTGACAGCTGTAACAGATGGGCTGGGGACAGAGAGCCAGCCACATTCACTACAGTTTTTTCCTCAACATATATTGCCTTTTATTAAAGACAGCCGATGAAACTTTTCAGCATGTTAACAAAGGCAGTCAGCAGCTACCAATCCAATAATACAGGACTTGTAGCACTGTATAACAAATGACACCACCTACTACTTCAGAAACTTGAAAGGAAAAACAGGCCTTCCTTCATTTCCTTTATGAGACAGATGCTTTACATCAAAAGAGCTGACTGGCAGTTCTATTAGGGTTATAAATAGCATTTTCCATGGTCTATTGGGAATTATACCCTTTATTAGAATTTTTTGTGGCATAAATGTTTCCTTAGGGTGTGTATGTGTGCGCATGATTTTTTAAAAATTAATTATGCAACTAATAATGAAAATCTGTTTGATTTCTAAAGTGTTTTTGTTTTATATTGACATCAATTCTTCCAAAACTCCTCCACATTATCAAAATAGATGATACAACTCTGCATACAAAAAAAGCCAAAGACTAAAATCTTCTCTAAAAGACATTATAGAAATCCAACACTGCTTAATGTAATTCCACAAATCTGTTTCATATTTACACCGACATAACGAACAGCATAATTTAGCCCCCTACTTCAACCATTAATTAAAATAAAATAGACGCGTTGGCTTTTCCCCATATCATCCCTGGTTCATTTTACACATGAAATCTTATATTTGCTAGTAGTTTATTCCAATATAGAGCTCTAAAGTGGCTTTGGAGATATAAAAACTTGTATGCAATCATTTCACTCACCAACGAAAGGGCAGAGCAGATAACAGCATCAGACACTGGTTTATGGAGAGTTGTGAAAACTGTACCATTTAA